ATATATATTATGTATACACGTCAACTTAATGCAGAAACTGTAGTACATGCATAAGGTGTCAATATCCTTGCTATATACCTGATAGCTCTGCAAAGAAAAGAAGATTATAAAAAAGTTATGGACACCTGTTTGGAATGGACTAGTCCATAGACCTTTTTGTGGTCTTTGACGCGTGAAGTGTGGCCCTATGAAGTTGCCAACCTGGCGCCCACTCAAACAGGCTACACTTGTTACTCACTAACTCCTCTCAAGATGTGTTCATACCGGGTGTTCTTTGGCCTAGTGTGTCTCACGGTGCAGTTGTCTTTCTCCGTGTGCAGTGCCGAGTCTGTGCAAATGATCGAAAGCAAGGTAAGAGTTCCATTCTTCGTCATCTGGACATGAAGCAAACCTGTAACACCAATTTGTGACCACCATGATAGCTGAAGCAGTTTTTAGAATCTATCCAGTTGCTTGAGTAACGTAACTGTTGTCTTGTGCATTACACCTGAAAATTTTGCCTCATAGTATTGTTTTGCACTAACCAGAACCATTGATGAATACAGTACGAGGAATAAGCTGTGCCTAGATGTCACATAACGTTTCGTATGCAGAAAAAAGAACTATAGATCCCATGTCCGCCTGTTTGTTATTTTACGTTTCGCGTGAATGGTTCTCTGAAGCTGCATGGCACGGCAGTTTTGTTGTGTGTATATATAACATGACCATTACGTCTCACAGGTCTGGAATTTGCCCTCAAGGTAGCCCGTCACAGAAAAAATTTTAACTTACATTAGGCCACACCGCCTTAATTTTATGGATGATATCCTCTGAAGACCCCCAAACTAGTGCGCGCGGGCGAATAAAAAAAAATTCCGGCCAAAAATAAAAATGCTACTAAACCACGGGAATACAAGGCTGGTATTGTGAATTCGCGTCAGTACACAGCAACGTATACGACAAGCCGGCACATGTTGGCTTTTTGCGGAATTTATAAATAGGCACTGTGTGTATATACTTGAGTTCTTGAGTTGTGGAGCTTCGCTAGCCTGGGTGCTCGGCTCCGTATTGTCGCTAACCACTATGGACTACTCAGGCCTAGAGCCAGGCCAGGGCCTCGGTGGACGTGATCTTTTTTTTCGACTAACAAGCGAAAATCAATGCACGCGCGGATGTCATCCATAAAATTAAGTCAGTGTGGCCTTATAACTGTTTGCATAATGATGCATGTATCTAGTTCTCATCTGTGTTGGTGGAAGCCATAGTTATAGAATTTGAGCTTAGTTCCAACACGTTAAAAAAGAAACTATAAATTTTCGGTCGATCCCAAATTTCGTCAGATGTATGGTCCCCCAGCTGACTCTCCTTGCATGATATTTGATATGTGGATAGGCCGGGATGACACCACAAAATGATTTTAGGTCAAGTAAGTTATGTGATCATGTGCATAATTAGTAAGGAAATGCTAGAATAGGCTTGTTTGTAAGATAAGATTTATTGTAGAGTTCTTGTTATTTGGGTACTGAATGTCATGAAATGGTATCGATTGCACAAATGAGAACCTAATTTGTATCCTCAATGACAGACATTTATCATTTGTAAAGGTTAACATCATGTATGAGCTATCTACATGTATCAAACTAAGACATTTGATATGACGTCACTTTATGAAATTCCGACCTAATAAAGCTTAGGCAATTGAAAATAATTTCAACGTATGCTTATTACAGTTTTTAAATTATCGTTAATTAAATAACAAGGGTTTGTTTAGTTACTCTATTTAGTCTACTTCAAGTTTAATCTACGATAAACATGATACAACAGCATGACATCAACTTTTAGCACCTCGGAAGCTCGCAGTCTTAACCCCTCCTGAATAAAATTCAGGATTCTTCCGCACATGGTATGATATTCAAAATCTGAACTAGAAAGGTAACATTTGCAAAGAAAATGCATAATGTTTACCTTCACATAATTATTGTATTCTCTGTTAATTCTTACTCTCTACGTATTACTACACATATTCACATATTATATGGTGACAGCAGTCTAAATCCGTCTTACTTTAAAATTTGCAACATGATGTAACCCAACACCAGTTACCATAGTGAGAGACGGTCTGGTTCAGGTCATTGACCAGGTCAGAGATCAGTGTTTGGAGAAGAAGAGAGAAGAAAAAAAAAACAGCAAAAAAAATGTTTTCCTTCAGTAAACACAAAACGCATTGTATTGTATCGTACTGTATTGTATTGTAATGTATTGTATTGAAGGCATATTTTAACGACATTCTTTCTAATGACATCAATTGAAAAATGCAGGAGGCATTTACCGACTTTATGAAACGGAACGAGGACAAGCTTACTGTAGTGAACTTCTATGCGGCTTGGTTAGGTCCATGCAAAATGATTGCACCGGTGTTTGAGGTAAGCAAAATCTGTCACATTGAGATAGTGGCATTACCTTTATTATAAGTTAACCAACGTTAAACCAACAAGTTCTTGTTCATATAGTAAATTTACAAACTTGAGGCTTATTCTTACAGGATTTCCGCAGTGCTCTGAAATATTAGCAGATATGAGCAACTACTTTATTTGAATGAATTACTCTTTATCCAACCAGCAGACTTGCATCGTGTTACTCTGAATTTTGTTGAATTTATAGTTTTTAAATTTGCATACAAAGTAATACAAAAACTATCGTGTTCTAGAAAAGCATGTGCTATGCAGGATTAGTGTATTAATGCACATATACAAAATGAAAATACATTGTGCATACTGTGAAAGCAATACATTTACATATTGTCAGTTCAATCTAGGCTAATCCCTCGTTTACCAGTTGTACCCAGTAGGGGATAGGGAGTACCAAATCCCTCGTCACTTTGCTCTCTGCTCGGGTTAAGATATGAGCGTTGTATTGGGGCCGCGAAAGACCAAGAGGCCCAAACAGAGGCAAAAATGACTGGGTTGTTGCGCAGGGATGTTCCCTATTTTTTTTTTTAACTTGACACGCGCCTCCCCTACCGATTCCCCGGGATGCGCAATGGTTCGGCCCCCTTCATCTAACCGGCGACAACAGAGTGACACCAGATGGGGTGTGTGCTACCTTACCCTCCCTGCGCGCAAAGCAACTCGGGATAGTGGTGGCGACTAACAGTATTGAAAGGACTCTTTGAGCAAAACAAGAACTCTCTTATTGGTTTCTTTTACGGATATACAAAAATATTAAGATTTCCATAAATTATCTATCTTTATATATGTTAGGTTGTGAGTGACCGTCAGATTTGCAAAAAAAAAATAACATGAATTAATGCATCACCACCAAAAGTAGCAGTAAAGAGTTAAGACCGGTTTGTCCAGCTTTTCATCATATTTTGTCACAGGAGATGGCAGCCACGATTCCTGGGGTGGCCTGTGGAAAAGTGGACGTCGATGAATCTGACGTAAGTAGAGTTCCACTATCTTATACCTTCGCCAAATGATGTTAACCTTTAGGGAATAATAAGTTTTTCTCATCGAATTACTCAGTGTGCAAATAAGATCTTTCTTTTCACGAATTGTATGTGTTGATCATATTATCATTAAGAGACAGTCGTAACTTAGCAGCATCTAAGAAGGCATCCATCTATCTCGACAGATAATGGTAGTATTCTAGGTGTAATGTTGTGGCTGTGTGTAACGTCTAGTGTGGATAATCAGCCCTATCTTTGCATGGCAGTCTCGGCCGGCCATAGTTGAGACACAACAATGTTGAGATGTTTTGTGCACGTAGTTGTGGTTTCTCTTTTCGCCTCTGGCGCTTTCTCTTCAACTGCTCACAACGTTTGCTTGTGCCTTTGGTAGGTCAACACTCAGTAACTGTGTGACACTGTGTATGTGTGCGCTCGTGTGTGTCTACTTATTTAGAAAGTTATCATGTTATTTACCCATATATCATTTTCATGAAGGACGTTGCAGCGGAGTATAAAATATCCAGTATGCCAACCTTCATTTTCTTCAAATATGGCGAGAAGGTACTGTCTGCATTTGTAACTAGTTCATCTTGTGTCCTTGAGTGAGCTATTTATACGTTAGCTATATCTTCAAACAATAGGTCAGCATTGCAAACGTTTTATTCCATTTTTATACATAACTTTTGCTTCATGATTTCAAGGTAACTAGCACCGTCAATAAACTAACCATATATGTTCCATAATGAATTTGAATATTATTTTAGATATAATCATCTGATCCCAGTTTACATTTCTTTATGTTACTTGTATAATTTTCTTTTGATACAAATTATATTATGTTATGTTGTATTTCCCTGGGTCCTCTTGGAAATCAGCAATCAATGTTAAAGGGGCCACCAAGTGTTATTCAAGATGAGATAAACAAATAAACAACAGTTAATGAGCTGTCCATAAAAATATCCTGAACCCTGATGAAGTGATTGTTGTTGTTGCCATTACAGGTTGATACGATGGTGGGTGCCAATGCGGACAAGTTACGGGGGTTGATTTATCGGTATGCGCGGTGAACGGCACGATATATTTACCTTTGTTCAGCATATTTGACCATTTAAGATGCATTTCTTTCGATTCCATTAGCATTGTTGAACATTAATGACTAAGATGCCTTGTGTTTGAGCATACTTAAACATTAAGATGCCTTGTCTTAGAACTTAGTTAAACTATAAGATGCCTTGCGTTAGACCTTATATGAACATTAAGATAATTGTATCAGAGCATAGTTGATCATTAGAATGACTTGTGTTAGAGCACAGTTGAACATTAAGAACATCGTATTAGAGCACAGTTGATCAATAGGATGAGATGGTGGGTGCCAATGCTGACACATCGTATTTTATCTATCTTTTTGTTCAGTTTTGGTTGATTATGTCAATCTGCTAGACCGCTGTTCTCATGATTCATGTACCTTATAGTTTGAATATTCTACTGGTGTGTTACAAGCAAATGCGGACTGGGTCCATAAGGTGCAAGACCCGTTAATGAGGCTCTATTCATTCATTTATAAAACTCACGACCTTCTCACGAGGATGACGATGGTCAACGACAACATGAACGCCAGCGAGCAGGGTCGTTTGGTATCGCCCTACCACTCGACACTGAGGAAGACGGCGTATCTCTGTGGCACTGTTTGATAGTACAAAGTATTAACATACCCATAGCTATTTACATGCCCCTGAGTAGAAAACAGACATCAGCTTCACCCAAAACCCGATAAAGAAAAAAAAAATTGCAGCACTGTATGTAGATTGACACCCATTCAGTGGTTTCTGTAGAGTTACCTCCTTTGTATATTATAAGAAAAATTTAATTGGTAATGTATCAGATCTAGTCATCCCCATATAATTAATATTCAGAGTTTATTTAAGTTACGTTTGAGCTTCCTCCTTAGTCGATGATCCAGCACGACGTCTGCAAAAAGAATGGTGTCCACTCGTAAATCGACCTGTGTATCAAAGTCGACAACATCAGAAACTTAAACAAGGACGTTTAGCCAACTATTATTCCAGATAAGAACAAGAATTCTTGTATTTGACAAGTCTTACCTCCTGCACAGGTTTTCACAGATTGTAAAAGCAACCAACAGTAACATCTGAAATTCAAACGTTAGTCATTATTTTCCAAAATCATTATGATTGACGTTAACAGTGAAACAATTTATCATGAAAGCTTACTTAAGACTTACGTAATGGAAGTGAATTCCTCTGACCTGGGCAAACCGTTTTCAAAGGGCGAAAGTATATTTTCAAATTGCAATAGTAGATAAATACTTTATTGCATCTAAAGCTATTTGAATGTATCTCGGTATTTCCTTGTTGTTCAAATAAAAAAAATCAGTACCCTCACAAGCTAAGGTACTTACAGAAAATAAGATAAACCCTGAGAACGCTGTTGTGGCCCAGGGCAACCCAAACTTTTCTACCAGCGCACTGCTCACTGTCGGTCCCACAAACGACCTGAAATATCACAGGCAAGCATCTTATTCAACAGGGTGATGTGGGGAGGTATTCAGATTATCCATCTGCGTCTTACGACCAAAATGTAGACAATAGTGCGTTATATATGATAATGTTGTTTATAAGTGCAAACATTTTGTTACCACGATTCAAAAACAGTGTAAATTCCACATATCTGCTATGCTAATATGCTAGTGAATGTATTGTAAGTAACTTACCCCATGCCCATAAATGCACTAAACGCTCCGGACACCAGGCCGTAAGTAGCAAAGTCAGTCTCCATTCCCGCATCACTTTGAACAGCAGAAACAACATAAAAATTCTAATAGTATAGCAAAGATTGATTATAGTGTAGCTTAGCTATAAAAAAATGATTTCTATAAAATCTCTTTTTAATAAATAATGGGATTGACACTTCAAGTGCAGATGGGTGCAGGACGCACTTGAATGTTGCTCATAGTATGTCACCTTTTTTGATGTCAGTATTGTTTATGACTGTTTACGACAGCAAATAACCATTGAGTAATGAGTGTACCTGGCCCCCCAAAGCATCACATTGAAGATAGGTGTAACCACTGCGCCTATGGACATCGCTATGACGACAATGCCAAGGATGTTAACCCACAGCTTTCTGAAAACAAAAATATCACCTGATGATTTACATTATCCACTAGCCAAGTAGCACATCTAAAATCTTAACAACATGACCACTTTGCGTTTTGTGCTTGTTTTTATTTTCAGGTAAACTTTTATCTCGCATATTATATTCCAGTCATAGAATCAAGGATCAAACAAATCCAAATTTTGATCTCCGAACAGTAGAAAGAGGGCCCAAGATAGTAATGAAATTCGAATTTATGTACTACAGTACGGTTTTCCTTCATTTACTTGCATGACTTGTTTGCAGCTATTATTTATAGCAACGTACATATAGTAATATGTATGAAGAGCAATGATAGGAGCTGCAAGCGTACTTGGGCAGAATGGTGAGGTTGTCTGAGAGAAGGGGAGACGGTCCGACCAGGAGCGCGCCGACTGACAGAACCAGCAGTCCTAACGCCATCATGGTCCTCACGGTGTTCTGTAACATCAACAAGTAACCGCTAACGACACACCTCTGATATATAGGGATTAGTTCCTCAGCATTCCCCTTTAGCCAGATAAATATTGGATTCAAGTTGTCAACTTTTACCTTTTTGTCGGCCAGCCACCCCCAGACTGGCGCACAAACGGCGTACACTGAGGCCAGCAGCAGGAAGAACAGACCGACTTGGGGAGGGGTGACACTGAACTGGGAACAGTGGGCATGTAATATTCTTGATTTAGTCATCATGCATCACATATTTTGCCGTAACAATTTGATATGTTAACCGTGAGGCTATAGACGTATATGTGGTGAAAGAACAGATTTACCTCTTTTGCAAAGTATGGCTGAATCACTGGCTCAAGATAGTTGATATCAGCGTAACCTACAACGGTTATCTCACCTGCAAAATAAACAAGACATACACGAGTAGGTTTAAGATCACACATTTAACAACCTTCGTTGTCATGTGGTAATGTCAAAAATATACATTGTATGTACATGTAGATACATTATAAAATACTTACAGGCCATAATGACAGTTGGGATCTTAAGGAAGTATAGCAGGGACACGTCCTTTTTCCCACTCTGTTCATTATCTGTGCGAAAAAAAGTGGTTTGGTAAGTAAAAAACAGTAAAACAGAAACAACTACGTAAATGGATAGAATGCGTATATTAGAAACGTTCATTAACGTCATGAACGTTATTATTATTACACTCACCGATTTGTGTGGGGACCAGGACAGCCAACACCGCACAGCAGCTGAACATCAGACCCCCAACCGCGAAAAACGGCAGCTTGAACCCGCCTAGCTGGTGTCAGGGTTAAATAACATCAACATCTTTGTCTAGAAAAGGAGCCAAATTTGCAAACTAATCTACTATGAACAGTAATGCGATTGAATGCGTCAACTGCAGAGTAGCGATTATTTGATAGTATGTATACTGCTGAAAATAGTCATTATTATTTGTACTTTTCAACAACATGATTCAGTATTATGAATGTGATTCAGTATAGATTAACTGACTGATACAGTACGGCACCTTTATTGCAGCACATCTGTTACCACACTATAAAACATTGAATGTACAGATAATATGTCATGCTAACTACATCTAGCACAAGATATCCGCGTCGTCCAAACCCCCTACAGAAACAGACATGTTCCTCACGTTGTACAGGGCACCCCCGATGGGAGGACCTGCCATCATGCCGAGTCCCATGAAGATCTCCAGGAGTCCCTGTAGTGGCGAGAAATTAACATTGTGGTTAACTTCTTTCTTTGACGTTTCTACTCAAGGAAGTACAGTTTACTGGTGCTTTGTTCAAACTGCAACAACAACTGTCAATTGTACTTTTTTGTTGTGTGGGGCTGTTAATATATAAGTTACAAACTTGAGTGCAGCGTCACACTGTCCTTGTTGTGTTTTCATGTTTTGAAGAATAAAAAAAAAACAATACATGGTGGAGCACTTGGCAGCAAATCCAGCCGATGCCGTGTTTCACACTTTATAAAACACACAATACAACACGACAGTAGTCATAGATATAGGCAATACAGTATAATACTACCTTACAGGTTAAAATTGTTGCCTCTCCTCTTCGCAAATGTTTGGGAACAATGTAGCTCATGTGCTCTAACACAGTCGTCACAAACTATTTTGTATAATTCCAATGCTATCAACGTTATCCGCACTCACGGCTTTTTGGATTTTCCACAAGTGAAACAAATGGCAAGAGCGAACGTCTTTCTCACCATGACCTTCGCCACATTGTTAGGGAACTCGTGAGTGAGGATGGTTGTGGAGGCAGTCCCATGTGCGGAGACGCCCAGAGCCTCCAAAATCCGGATGGCAAAGCAAAATGCGATGAACGTCGTTCCTTCCATATATTCTAAAAGTCTATGGACAGAGGGAAAAAATACATGCCGTCTATGATCGTAACGGTATATCAAGGGACAGAGTAGGGTAAAATTCATGAACAGCAACAGTATAATCAATGGGAGGAAAAAAAGTGTGTTACACTGATCAGCATTTGCTGTGCACTTGCATACTTCACGAAACTACTCAAGAAGTTAGTTCTGTGCTATACTGTACTAGTATATTATATATTGTAACTGTTCAGAAGATAAAAGACTTACCCAAACAAAAAAGAGCAGCTCCCACCCACAAAGACCCCACTGATCAACATGAATCTCGACCCGATTCTTGTGATCTGTGGAATGAAAAGGACACATGGAAAGAAAAATGCAAATTTAACGTTTATGGTCTTGAAAAATAAGTAGACAGAAAAGGGCAGAATCATTAACGTCAAAAGATAAACATGATTTGATGATATATTTCGCCAAAAACACAAAGAAAGTATCCGCTATTGCATGGTTAGACATGCGCTAGTCCAATAAGACCCCCGGCATGTGGTACAGATACTCACAAATTTGCCGAAGACCAGCCCCCCTAGAAACTGGATTGCACTAAAACATCCGAACACAAATCCCACAGTAGTCTGCGAGGCTCCTCTCCGTAGAGCCTGTAACATGTATAGAACGTTACTATAATAAGAGCTGGTGCTGAATTGGCATGACACAGGTGCATAGATATCCTGACTAAAATTTGTCCCGAATACAATAAAACCAAACGATACTTAATCGAATGTTTCCTTTTAACCATACTTTTACACCTTTCATTGTATTCCAATTATTACATCAAGGGTCACAATAAACCAACTTTGATCGCTGATCTCGGGATTGCCGTCTGTGAAAACGGGCCCTAACCGAAATAAAGACACAAGAAATTAGACCAGGTAATCAATCTTTCTGACTTATTTATACAGTGTGGAGAGAACCAATGTGCGTATATATATTGTTGTTATTGTCGCTAACTTATCTCATCCGGGAAGAACGGAGTAATTATAGCGGAGCAGGCCATGCCTGAGAAGTTTAGAAAAGCGACACAGAGGAAGGTCAGAATCTGCCTTTTGGATGTCTTCGCACAGCTGAAGCCCTCTTCTTCTTTGGAAGTCTCTATTTCATCATGAGGAATAACTTCGGGACATTTGTCCCTCACAGTACCATATGTCATAACCTCTGGGTTACGGTCTGTGTCGATCTGTACGTGTCTGTACGTGTTCTGCCCGTGGTCGTGGAACAGACGCGCCGACTCGCTGTCGTCCTGCTCCTGCTCCAAGTTCCAGTCCTGTACGGGCTCCTGAACACGGTCTGTGTAGAGCTGAACGTGTCTGGAGGCGTTCTGTCCATGGAGCAGCCGTGCCGACTCGCCGTCGTTCTGTTGTTGATCCATGTTCCAGTCGTGTACGGGCTCCCGGGGTCACGCCTTGTACTTTGCCCCGGCGTCGGTTTGGTGCCGTAGGTCACCATGACGTCATCACAAGGAGCGTTGAGTACTTTTATTACCTCTTGTCCTAGTAGCAGGACTTCTTTATTTCTACTTCATTTGCTGACAATTTTAATAATACGGAAATTATTTGTACCGTCCCCTTTGCACAAATAAGGTTTGAAAACCCAGCACAGTTTTGTTACGGTGGACAAATTTCCATTTCCTTTCCTTAACCAAGACCACCACATACTACTAGACACTGCGAATACATTAAAACTATCAATTTCAGAAACACATACAGAATCGTAAATAAGATAAACTCCTAATTTTTAGTAGTCACCATCACTCATCACATTTTAGTAGTCCCCATCACTCTTTGCGGCAACCCCTTAAGAATAGTGGAAATCGCCAAGGTATTAGGCGTCTGGCTTCAGTCGAACCTAAAATGGGACACACAAGTCAGTGAAACAAAAAAAGAAGGGCAACAAACGACTTTTTATGTTACGCAGGCTTAAGTCATTTGGAGTCCCAGTGGAGGACCTTGTGACAGTGTACTCCGGCTTCATAAGACCGATCCTTGAGTACTGCGCACCAGTGTGCCACCACTGCAACGATGGAGCGAGTACAGAAACGTGCGTGCCGGATCATTCTGGGACATAAGTACACAGACTACACCTCGGCGCTGCAGATGTGCAAACTAGAAACACTTGAGAAGAGACGGGCGACCCTCTGCACCAAGTTCGCACACAGCATGTTCGCATCGGAACGCACAGCAGACCTCCTCCCCAACACACGGCGACAGGAGCACGGCAGAAACCTCAGAAACTCTGACCAAATGACTCTTGCGCCTTGCCGCACTGCTCGGTACCAAAACAGCCCTGAACCATCTCTGCTGAGACTGATTAATATGAACAAATAGTACGTTGTAAATCAACCACACTCAGGTGTTTAGTAATTGTAATATTTTATTTTAATACTTGTAAGATTTTGTGCTATTTGCTAAATATTGTGTTGTGATTATCTCATGTACTATATATGTAAATGAAACGTACTTTAGCCTGATGACTGCGATGTTTTATATAATAAACCACTCATTCATTCATTATTAGTATGATTCAGTTGGATGACAAAGATGTACTCTGCAATGATTCCGTATCATAAAAATATATGGCACATTCTCATATAAAGCTGGGTCCATACAAGCAGGCCCCACAGATATTTACATAATTCACTGCGGCTGACGCATTTCTACAACACCTGTGCAACATGATGTAAATGGCTAGTCATCTTTTATAATTTCAAAGTTATTGTAAGATTCTGATATTGCATCATTGTGAATCTTACGTTGATTCTGTACACTACACGCATTTGCCCACTGGCTTCCATAAAAAGCACATGAACACAACAGGACACGGAGGGCAGAAAACAAAGTTCATGGTGGTAGCAATCTCTTCTGGACTGGACTTGGAGACTCAGGTACACAGAGCTTCACGCTACTAGCCTCTGGCTCTCACCGTCGGTTGAGTTCACATGATGGACCCTGAGAAGGTATGGAAGAAACAAGCCTAGGCTATCGTAGAAGTATGAAGAACATGTAGTTATGAACTACCAGATGCAGACAGAGATCAAGACTGTGGACACGTTTTGCTATCTAGGTAGCAGAATTCTGAGCAGTGGATCCCTGGACGCTGAGGTGACACAGCGCATTGGAAAGGCAAGTGTGCAATAGGGGCTGCACGAGCAACCTCCATGGAGGAGCTCTGCAGAGCTCCTC